TATGATGTAGCTAATAAACTACCTCCCTGCTGTCGTTTATCCGATGATGTTCCGACTTTTTTTCTGTTCTCCCACAGGAACGTTGTGCTGCGGCACCAACTGTGGAGGAAGCATGTGTGTGGCCCCGGTTTAGACACGTGAGTTGGACCATCTTCATCTTGACATTATGTGCTCTACTAATTTGAAATGGTAAACTTCTATATGTAGACACATGTTGTCTCAGTACACTCAGGGAGGAATGGTTTCTTCCTGACATAATATGCTCCACAAATTAAAATGCAATGATCATATTTCGATATGTGGACCCATATTGTCGTGTTGCACTCACAGAGTCAGTAAATGAGTTGTTGAACAAGTATATAATAATTAATTCAATTATTAACGTGACATGTTGTATTGTACTGTGGTCGATACTGCAATTTGTTTTAGAAAACCACTTCCTCTTTGAATAAAGAACGAGTCGCTCATTTGTTTCTGGGAAGGGCTGGGTGTGTGGGTGTGAGGTTGTGGTTGTGGTTGTGGGTGTGAGGTTGTGGGTGTGGTTGTGAGGTTGTTGGGAGTGGCTGTGGGTGTGAGGTTGTGGTTGTGGGTGTGAGGTTGTGGGTGTGAGGTTGTGGTTGTGAGGTTGTGGGGTGTGAGGTTGTGGTTGTGGGTGTGAGGTTATGGTGTGAGGTTGTGGTTGTGGGTGTGAGGTTGTGGGTGTGAGGTTGTGGTTGTGGGTGTGAGGTTGTGGGGTGTGAGGTTGTGGTTGTGGGTGTGAGGTTGTGGGTGTGAGGTTGTGGTTGTGGGTGTGAGGTTGTAGGGTGTGAGGTTGTGGTTGTGGGTGTGAGGTTGTTGGGTGTGAGGTTGTGGTTGTGGGTGTGAGGTTATGGTGTGAGGTTGTGGTTGTGGGTGTGAGGTTGTCTTCCTGACATAATATGCTCCACAAATTAAAATGCAATGATCATATTTCGATATGTGGACCCATATTGTCGTGTTGCACTCACAGTCAGTAAATGAGTTGTTGAACAAGTATATAATAATTAATTCAATTATTAACGTGACATGTTGTATTGTACTGTGGTCGATACTGCAATTTGTTTTAGAAAACCACTTCCTCTTTGAATAAAGAACGAGTCGCTCATTTGTTTCTGGGAAGGGCTGGGTGTGTGGGTGTGAGGTTGTGGTTGTGGTTGTGGGTGTGAGGTTGTGGGTGTGGTTGTGAGGTTGTTGGGAGTGGCTGTGGGTGTGAGGTTGTGGGTGTGAGGTTGAGGGTGTGGTTGTGACGTTGTTGGGAGTGGCTGTGGGTGTGAGGTTGTGGGTGTTGTTGTGGGTGTGAGGTTGTGGGTGTGAGGTTGTTGGGTGTGAGGTTGTGGTTGTGGGTGTGAGGTTGTGGGTGTGAGGTTGTGGTTGTGAGGTTGTGGGGTGTGAGGTTGTGGTTGTGGGTGTGAGGTTATGGTGTGAGGTTGTGGTTGTGGGTGTGAGGTTGTGGGTGTGAGGTTGTGGTTGTGGGTGTGAGGTTGTGGGGTGTGAGGTTGTGGTTGTGGGTGTGAGGTTGTGGGTGTGAGGTTGTGGTTGTGGGTGTGAGGTTGTAGGGTGTGAGGTTGTGGTTGTGGGTGTGAGGTTGTTGGGTGTGAGGTTGTGCTTGTTGGTGTGAGGTTTTGGTTGTGGGTGTGGTGGGGATGGAAGTGGTTATGGTGGGGATGGGAGGGTGTTTGTCGTGCATGGGGACGGACGTATTGTTTTAGCGACAACATATGCCGCATATTGTCTGCTGCAGGTAGAACCAGACACATCCAACATATTTACATCAAGACATCCAACATATCCAGCGAACTACTTTGTTAGTTTAACGAACCCAAATATTGTTTTCAATTAATTTCGTGAACAGTTTTTCATTTTTTAAATCACAAAATATCACATGGGTTTACAGCCTCATGTGAAGCGGGTAAATTATGGAAAGATATGCTCTTCCATCAAATCAGTTTTGTCTGAGCTAATCTCTATGCATACCTTTGTTCCAGCTGGGAAATAGACACATTCAATAACTGGCAAGATTCCAAATAAAAACTGACATTGCATTTGGTTTTCCGAAGTCTGCATCATATTAACTAACATCTGTTTTCCGGATGAAACTGGGGTGTTTGCTATTTCCTCGAAGTGGTTTGTGTGTGTGTTGTTTGACGCCGCACTCAGCAATATTCAAGCTATATGACATCAGTCTGTAAATATCTTGAGTCTGGACCACAAAAAAACCCAAATCTTCAAGAGCCTCGATAACATGCATCAAGCCTGACCACCCGATCCCTGTAGTCGCCTCTTACAACAAGCATAGTCGCCTCTTTTGACAAGCATGGGCTGCCGAAGAACTCATTTTCTCAAAGCTTGACCGTCTTAATGTCTTACAACAATACTTCCAGACCTTGACCAAAATAAAGACAATTTATTTATGACTAAACACTTCCCTCGGTCTCAGAATTATTTTTTTTACAGATTTGATTTAAAACGCATCTCCATCAAAACGCATGGTTATTCTTATATCGGCATATTAGAAACGAATCATAGCTTTCTCTACCTCAATGTATGATTGCTGGTCAAAAGGTTCTAAGCCTAAGTAAACACGTCTATGTAGTACAGTGATTGAGTAGTTCACTGCACGTATATTTGGTCTGTTGTGGCCGTTTGTATATAAGTGACAGCCAGTTGAACGTGATATGGGTCCAAATGGACAGAGAAACGGAAAAGAACGAGTACCGAGCCGTCATCAAGTTTATGACTGTAGAGAAAAGTTTTCTCCAAGATATTCATGAGAGCATGTCACAAATGTATGGGGTAAGTGCCCTAGCTGTTCCACTGTTTAACGTTGGACACCTGAAGGATGGGAGAACAAGTCTTGAAAATGACCCGAGGTCTGGACGTCCTTCAACTTCCATCAATGAAGATTCAATCAAGGAAAAAGACGTATTACCATTGCCGAACTTGTATTGTCAAATACCTAGGTTACGTGATCTCAGGGGAGGGTATCAAAACAGAACCTGATGTCCATTGATTTCGTGCATTCTCTTAATACTTAAGACGTTTTGAATGTCATTAATAAGTTTCATGGCTACTTGTAAGGCAACTCATTCACTGTAAGGACTGGCAATACTACCCTCACTTATGCCCTCAATTCCACTTAGTTTGATGCAAACTGGCATCACTGGCACGCATAACTTGCCACCTATGACTTCTCGCTTGAGTATGTAGGAATGACGATGGAGAATGTAAAGTAATTTAGTAATCTCATCAAGTGCTGTGGAGACACTTTCCCTAACTAGTCCACCTCCGTAGTCTAGTGGTAGAGCGTCCGCCCAGAGAGGGGAAGGCAAGGGGTTCGATCCCCGGCCGCGTCATACCAAAAGACGTTAAAAGATGGTTCTTGTTGCCTTGTCCGGCGCTCAGCACAAAGGGGCTAAAAACAAAGACAGGTCAGCTCGGAGTCAGTAAAGTGTGTCTGAGAGGGGTATTAATGTAAAAGTATATATATATATATATATATATGTATATATATGTCATATATAAGTGCAATAGTCTTTGACGCGAGAATAAACCCCACCTCACCTCACCTCACTTTCCCTAACTGGGTAGGTGATAATTTGCATGTTGGCAGTTGATGGTATGGCATCTCCTGACAAGATCCCTCAATTTGTTCGAATTTTATATACACGTCCACCCTGGATGCTCTAACATCGCATCTGGATCAGCATCTATTCTCTCCTAGTAGGACTCGCTCACTGTCAAAGATGACCGTCTTCCAAGGCAAAAACTTACATATGTTGTAGCACCCTACTGTCAACCGAGTCTGGAAGATATGATAAATTTATATATGACAGCATATTAGTGGACATATATATAGCATATGTTGGACATCATATTAGTGACAAGACCATGGCTTTATTTAAGACATGGTTTTACTGGCGGGGAATGATAACAGGCGTGGAAAAAATATTGGCTGCTGCCAGAGGTATATTCTTCGGAAAGCTCCAAACTGAATTGAGCATGCACCTTTAGTTAGTATAGACACCACTCAACCTATGGAGATGGTGTTCATCGCCTGACTCAGCTTGGAGCCCTTCTCTTGTGGTTATGGTGAGGTGAAATGGGGTTGAATATCGCCTCTAAGTGTGGTTATGGGAATTCCCTGGTCATTACAGATCATTTCACACAATATGCCTTTGCCATCCTCACTGGCAACAAAACGGCCCATACTACAGTCCAAGTACTGTTTGATCACATCATTGTTCACTGCAGCATTCCAGAGAATTCGCACTCTGATCAAGGCTGGAACCGGAAGGTGATATCCCCAGACAGTTGTGCAGCATATTTGGCATACTGGGTCTACTCTATATCATCTGCCTCATGTTTTGACTAGACGCCCAGTGGCTGGACATAAGGTACCGTGCCTGGCTACACATACCTTATAAAAATAGCCAAAAAAGGAGAGACAAACCAAGCATTTTCAAAGAGTCCCCCATTACAACCCTTCTCTCTGGATATTGATTTACAATAACCACAGCGAAATTGTACACTTGAACCCTCTACCGAAAGGCTTTGGCTTAAAATGAGATTGCAGCCTATATGTATCAACAATATTGGAGGAAAATAATAAGTGTAACCATTTATAGCATGGATAATTAATTATCTTGATAATAGAGGATTTGTCATTGAAATGGGAAAAGTTGTTGGTCATAATGTGACCTCAGGATATCACCGTGAAATAGCCTGTCACGGACCCTAATTCAATCATATACATGATACGAATAGTCTCACATGGATCTCTCAGCGTGAATGAAGTACCATTCACTCACGAGTGCAGTTCAACATATTTCTCAGAAAAGAGCAAGAACACGGATAAACAGTGCACAGAATGTGACATTTATGAATTAAAAGCAAAGATGAAAGGAATGCCAAACTTTATTCAAAGCTGATTACATGTCATTCTTTCCGTGAACATGTTTAAAATGTATTCCCTCTGGCCACATAGGAAACTACATCTTTTCACTGACACCCTCCCACGTACGGAGCCAGGTTCTGGATTCGAATGATTTCAACGTCAAAGGTTTCAGGTCCATGCAAGGTTTCTGCTATCACCTCCATTTTCTGAGGGCCAACTGGCGCGAAGTGCATTAACTGAAATGTGACCAAAAAAGGAGTCATTGCAAACATGTCCTTAAGGACGATAACCATCACAATTGCTACAACAAATTATCGTGGGTGAGATACTTCGGTGTAACACACCATTTAACATTATTTAGTTATAAGAATGGTGTGTCAGCCTGATGCAGGGGAAAAGTCAGAAGTGATACATGAAAAGACATTTACCACTTAGCACAAGGAATGATAAGACAAACCTAGAAACAAAATCAGGGGAATAATGACTTGTGCAAGAAGGTTCACCTCAACTGGAAGGCTTGCTAGAGTTCTGAAACATGCCGCCCGTTGACCCGTTTTCAGAATGCCCACGTCTCTTTCAAACATCTGTCTCATCTTCTTGTCAAACTCAGCTGTTGTTAAATCTAGAATGTAAGTATGAATTGGATAACATACATGAGTCTGGAATGGGAACTTTGAGATTTTATTCACAAAGCGTGCACATGGCTGTGCATTTTGATCATTTGTAGGAAGCTACCTAATTCCTAGTATATTTGCCACTTTTGACTGTTCTTTACTTCAACCCTCATCCTTGTCACAAGGAGATGTTACAGCAAGTAAGTATTGGACATCCAGGAATGCTTAGATGCTTTGGAGATTCCTACCACAAAGTCAAGATTGTCAGCTATTTTTGATTTTGGAGATAATCATGTAGTTAGGTTAATGTACTCCGACACGCAACGATTGTTTCAACCAGATGAATTTATGGTCATTTAAAACCTGACTGGTCAGAATAAAATCCACAGCTTTGATATCTCTTTGAAAAACAACACAACTGTACACCTGTCTATATTACTTCCTGTGCTGATATATCAAAGAGTTTAATGTATAACTAAATGAGCTACAGTGCTACCTTGTTATTATTCCTGGACAAAGCTTATACGCGCCAGTGTTTATTCCCCTTTAAAACCAACACGCACAGTAGCTAGGAAAGGTTTTCTGCAGGTGAGTTAACCCATGTGATGCTGTATGTATAGTGACTGATGCGCTTACCATATACGTTTAATTATATAATAATACTTGTAACAATATGATAATGCTAACTTGTAGCTATATGATAATACTTACATGAAACGAGCTATATGTAAGCGCTTAACTGTCAGACATACCTTTGACATGAAATATTTGCTTGCCAAGAAGTAAGTGCTCATCATCCTCGAGAGACATATCATAAATGTCTCTGGATACATTGACCCCAAGTTCCCGGGCGTAGTCACTGCAGCGGTACACTGGGGTCGTCTTCACCTCATAGCCCTTTCGTGACAGAAAGCTTGTCAACTGTGGCCAGCTGCACGCTTTCTCAACATTAAGAACTGAAATTAACAGATATTTCTTTCCTTTGTTTTGTAAACAAACATAGGAGATAAACATGTCAATTGACAATAAAAGGATAGCTGTTCTATCTATAATGTAGTTTCTGAAAGATCGTCATGACCCCACGCTGAAAGCCATTATGTCATACTGAATCTGTGGACGATGATTGGACAAAATCAAATGTCCTTCACGATTAATGAAGTTTGGTTCAGATTTGGCAATGCTAGCTAGTTACGTAGTACAGTTACATATCGCTAATAGGAGATGTGTTGAGCAACAGTAGCGTATGTCTAAAAGTAACTTTGTTATAAGGGAAACATCAGCACATTTAATATAATCGAACTCACCAAGCAATACCTTTGGGTTCCCGATTTCCTGTAAAACAGCAATTTGAGAAAGTGAAGTGAACGGGTAAATATTTCTAAGGCAAGATAAACGGTATTCAAGCAGACTGTAAATATCTATGGGCAAAGATTCAGGGACCGACAAACGGCGACGACAAAGATCCTGACAGTCCGATCAAAGTATGTTGTGATTAGCAACATGGTTGTTTCTCTTAAATAACAGAATGCTTTGTTGCAACCAATATATAACCACGTGATGAGCAAGGATCAACACCATCGGGACAAGATCACATGCAATCAGCTAAGGCACAGAGCCTGACCACCTGATCCAAATTGAATCGCCTCTTAAGACAAGCAACGTGAGGTGGTCTACGCGTTACAAAATGGCGATGCAACAATTACACCAACCTTAAATGAATATAGAACTTTGATGTCATTTAGACCCTCAACTTTTGCCTTAATCTGCAATATGTCTGCCGTCTCGTCCCTCCCCTCCTTAGGAGGAAGGGTGATGTCAGCTCTGTACAGAAGGGCGTCTCTATCATCATAGCAGCCGAGAACCGACCGGGGGAGACACGGAAGGGTGAGGAGACCAATGAGGAGCATGAACATTGTTGTAAAATCGTTATTTCTCCGCACAAACCGAAGGTTCAGGTTTATTAGAGTTCGTCCTGTTCTGTCTACGAACAAAAATATAATTGCCATATCATTGTACACATTTATAAGCAGATTGTGAAAAGTATCAAAACAATACTTTTCTGCCAATTAGAATGTTTTTATTATTCCAGATATTTTGCGAAGTTATATTACTGTTTTAACTTTTGCCATTCTCTAATCTAGAAGTAAAGTCCCAACAGGCTGAAAGAAGGTCACAATATAGAACATATTGCGAACAAGCCGGATGACAACATCTTTCAGTTTTCACAGTCATATTCGAATAATTTTTAAGATCACAGTTTTGGTAGATTGTTGGAGAGTAGTTTATGTTCGAAATCCTCTCAGCATTGAAATTTTTTGCTTGTATTATTTCCTTTATTTTGGGGGTTTATTTAATTGTCCATTATTGATAATTTTATCTTCGATGCCTCAGGCCCTGGTGTCTGCCATATATCAGCTATAATCTCCGATAAATATACAACTGGTACTCAACACGCATATGCATGTAACTTTGCAATTATGAATGCACATTCCTTTCATAAATAAAGCAAGGCTGGTTGATGTATTCATATCATTACATCATCAGTTCTATTAATTTTGTGCTATAACATATAGTGAGTGAGTGAGTGAGTTGGGTTTAACGCCGCTTTTAACATTATTCCAGTTATATCGCGGCGTGTCAGCTTAATGTGGGAGGAAAGCCCGAAGTGATGCAGGTCCCAGACGTTTATCACTTCGGTGAAACCCACGAGCACGCGTATGGTGCTGACAAACCTAGAAACATAATTTGGGCGAACCGGGATTCGAACCCACAATCATAGGTTTCTGGCGTGCCCAAGGGACGCAACTCTGCACAGCGAATCGCGGCGCCTTAGACGACTGGGCCACCCGTGCCCCCTATAACATATAGACATGGCAGGATTATTGGTGACACTTATAACGTCTTTTGCGCTCTTTATGCTATCGCACATTTGCTCTCATCCTCGCTCCGCCTATCTCTTTTGCAATTCAATAAATGAATTGAACCACCAATGGTTATTAATGAAGACTGATCTCTATAGAGATGCTGGGGCTCTCTGTATATATCTAGTTTATAATTAAAATCACGCTGTCTAGAATACTCTTGATCACATCAACACACATATAATCAAAAATGAGACGTTTGAATACTTTACCTTTCTGACTGTGACGACGTTGAATACTGGCTTGTGACTGCTGCCAAAGGTAACTGCAGCGATATATATACGTGAGTTTGCAAGTGAAAGTCCCACTGCACATGTCAGCATAAAGCAGCATATGTGTTCAACTATTTTCTATGCATATTTATGAGATGAACGTGCTGTGTAGGCAATGCAGAACCTTTTTTTTTTCTTTTAAACATTCTTTTTCATTTGTTGCATTTCATATTGTTATAACAAAACAGAAAAAAACAGTGATTTCCATGTTACAAAAAGTGTATGGGATGATGACCAATATTTTAAAAATCTGTCTAAATTCCCACTGTACATTTGGAGATGCAGAAATACTGCTTCAGTACATTCTGGAAGATCTGGAACAATGGCATGTGCTTTGTGTCTTTACATGAGAAAATATGTTTTTCGCAAAGAATAATTATAAGATTCAATGACTCACTCCTTCTGAATTTGTATCCAAGCACATATGTCGTTTGGGGATATTTCCTTTGATTTGAGTGTTGGTATTTAGCCAAAGCTCCAGTGCTGTCCATGTCGATTTTACTCAGCTGCAATCCCAAAACAAATGTTCAGTCGTTTCTATGTGTGTCTCAAAGGCTACATGTATTGCTGTCTACATATCCCATTTTGGATAATATATTATTAGTAGGTAGGAAGTGGGGTAGAATTTGTATTGAAACCATAGAAGCTTAGTATTTACAGTGCATGTAATGTGTCCACAGCACCCCATTGCTAGTCGTAAAAGGCGACCAAATTGGGCAACCTGTTTGCCGTGGGTTGTGCCCCTGTGTCGATGGAGGACGGGATTCTGGTGGTTTAGGCCACTGGAGCCAGTAACGGGTGTTCCTTTTGTCCACCATACCACTTAGACCCTGACTTCACCTAGCCGGGTAGTAGATTGGGCCCGGTTCTATCAATCGGCTAGTCACGCCATGCCCTGTGTATGAAACATGTGCATTAAAACATGCGCAATGAAATATTGCAATTTATGTGAATGTTGGGTATGTATGTATGCTATTAATGTATGATATAAACTTGCCTGGAGTCCCATGCCAGAAGGCGGTGACTCATGGGCCAATCGGGTACTATCAACCTCTGAATTCTGTCTGTCTCCAATTAACTGTCATGGGCCGAACCAGCCTGACATTATATTTGGTATACAAATTCAGCTATTCATGTTGTTCTTACTGCAGTATACCACCTCTGTATTCCTGATGTTTCCATGTTGGAGATCCGGTGCAATAAAACATCGCTCTTTATGGCACTCCATGGTGGTTTGGGAGCAGGGGTGTTGAATTATTTTATTTCAACATGTCTTACCAATACCCTGGTTCAAACCGTTCAAAACAACCACATGACGATCTTGATGAAACTGATCAAACCGAAAATTCATCTCCTGTTTTAGATTCATGGGCCCGATTTGTTGTCATAGAAGCAGCTGATAAACAACCAATTAAACTTAATCCCTTTGCACTTTCCAAAGCTGTATCTGGAATTTGTGGAAAAGTTAAGAATTTGACGGGTCTTTTCACTGTCTCTCTTCTTGTTGAGTGTACACGGAGACAGCAATCTCTCAATCTGCTATCTTTAACTACATTTGAAAATATTGAGGTTGCTCTGTCCGTGCACAAAACCTTGAATTCTTGCCGAGGAATTGTTCGAGACAGAGCTCGTTTCCTGTCCGACATGTCGGAGCAAGACATTACAGAAGAATTAAAAACTCAAGGAAATCGAGAGACGTTGACATTATCCCGTCCAACACATATCTGTTTACCTTTGCACTTAAGTTTATTAAAGCTGGTTAATTCAACGTCGGAGTGGAGGTGTATGTCCCCAATCCACTCAGATTTTTCAAGTGCCAAAAGTTTGGTCATGGCTCCAAATATTGTAACCATTCTGTCATATGTCAGCGTTGCGGCGGTGGAGATGAGAAAACCGATTGTGCTGCAGAGATAAAATGTGCAATTTGGAAAGGACAACATCTGGCTTCTTCAAGGTTATGTCATGTGTGGCAAACCCAATCACAAATTCTGAAGGTCCAACATGAAAATAACATTTCATTTCATGAGGCAAAGAAACTTCTTGAGAACAAATCTCCTCCAACGTCACTTAATAAAACATATTCTGCACCTGTTGTTCGTCCTGTTACACAAACCTCACCGATCTCTATTCAGACAGAGTTGTCCTGGGTAAAGTCAGACCAACCTGTCAGCATAACTTCCACCCAAACTGTGAATATCTCTGAACCAGACAATACGAGTGCTTATCACTGAAGAATTTGATGCCGTAGAACCAGACATTCAATCATTAACCAGAAAAGAAAGAAAAAAACATGTTTTAACCGAAAGACAATTTCAAGTCCGCGTGGGTTCAACCCTGTCTGACCATTATAATCAGGATCAGGGTGTCCAACAAGGCAGTATCTTGTCTGTCACATTATTCAGCGTTAAAATTAACAGTCTCTCCAAGGTATTGAATGACTCAATTGATGGGTCACTCTTTGTAGATGACTTCAACATATCTTGTTTTGGCAAAAAACATGCAGACAATAGAACGGCAACTGCAGCTTTGCCTTAATAAATTCCAAAAGTTATCGTTTGAGAATGGTTTTAGATTTTCTAAAGCAAAGACAAATTGTATCCATTTTTGTAGAAATTATAGACCACACAAAGACCCGGAACTATTGTTAAACGGTGCCCCCATCAAGGTTGTTGAGACCAAGTTCTTGGGTCTTATTTTTGCTCGCCACCTGGCGTTTTTACCTCATAGAAAATATCTTAACTAAATGATTGAAGGCTCTGGATCTACTGAAACTTGGCGCAAATACGAAGTGGGGTGGGGATCAGACAACCTTACTTCACCTGTATAGATCCCTTATTGGATCTAAACTAGATTATGGTAGAGCTGCTAAAGGTAATTTAGAGAAATCAGATAGCATACATCATCAAGGACTGAGACTGTCTTCGATCATGTAGAACCTCTCCTGTATCAAGTTTGTGGGTGGAGGCTGATGTACCTTCACTTGCACAACGCCGCTTAAAATAATCCTATCAATATATAACTAAATTACGTACAAACCCACCAAATCCAGCTTATAACTGCGTCTTTTTTCCTCTCAATGAGGAACTGTTTCATAACAAGCCAAAGAATACACGGCTACTTGGCATTTGGATCAAGCCTCACATTGCAAATACTAATATTGACTTGCATGTTGCATGTTGCCAGCGCAAGTGTCATTGGATCCAGGACTATGTCAAACCAAATACCAGATAACTGTTTCATTTTTATGGCCGAAGAAAAGGTCGTATTCACGGCATTAGAATATATCAATAACCAATCAAAACATAAACAATTTATTATATTTTCTGACTCACTCTCTTGCCTTCAAGCTATTATTATTTAATCAAAATATGAATTGTTAAATGATCTTGCTACTGGCCAATACAACATCGTTTTTTTTGTTGGTTACCGAGCCATGTTGGAATCATTGCTAACACAATGGCTGATGTTGCTGCAAAATCAGCACTCAACAAATCTGTGATACTACTTCGTATCCCATACAGTGATTATAAGCCTGTTATTAGATCAGGGAACGCATGCAGAAGAAGTGGGACACCCAAGTAGGTATCAATAAATTACATGAAATTAAACCAACTATTGGTTACACCTACATTAGTTGTAGAAAAATATCAAATAAATTCCGGATGTAACTAAACACCAAAACGACAATTTTGTTCCATTTCAGTAACCAATTCGCTTATA